TATTTTTGGTAAAAGCGTCAGCTGTACTTTGTGTTCAGTGCTCATTAGCAAATATAAGCATGCTGTAATGTACACTTCAGCATGTCAAGATGATTGTCGGGAGGAGTCCTGTATAACCTCGTAGCATGGCTGGAATGACTGCTTCAGTTGCTCCTGTTTTTTCCCCCTTTCCCTGAACTTTAAACTTTTTTCTTACTTTCTGATTGTTTAAATAGCTTTAACTCAAACATGGTTGTCGAGAGAGTTTTTGTCCTTCTTGTTGCCATGGAATTTTTTTCACATAATTTCCTCTGGGAATAATTCATTACAGATCCTATAAAGCATGGATATTAAACATAAAGTCCGGGGGCCGGAACATGCCCAGGAAAGACTTGAATCCCCACACCTATGGCTTTTGAAAATGTGAAGGAAGGCATAAATTTCAGACTTTCAGCAGTGTTTTCATATATAGTTTTTCCTTCTGATTAAGACTTTTCTATTAATACTGGTTCCCCCCCCCCCCCCCCTACACACACACACACACTTAGTATCAAATTGATTCCCATGTGTTCCATGACATCTCTATTATAGAGGGTTCAAATCAATACAGTTGTAGTTATATAACTTTATATATCAAGGACAGACCTACAACAATAGAGAGGAACCCCCACCAATCAGATAACACCACCTTTGAGCACTTGGTGACAGTGGGAAGGCAAAACTCTCTTTTGACAGGAAGAAACCTCTGGGTTCAGGAAGGGGTGGCCATCTGCTGTGACCGTTGGGAGTTAGAGGAGGGAGAGAGAAATGAGTGAAATGCGAAGAAAAGAATTTTACAAGGACTGTACACAAAAATCTTTTTTGCTGATGTTCCTTATCTCGTTTTGTTTGTGTCTGAAGGAAATGACTTTCCTCTCTGTCTTCTCCTTCCTGTCGAATCGCTTGAGGACGACAGGGAAGATTAATTACAATATGTTTATTTAGCAAACACAGTCACCTTGTAATATCTGATTGCAATTTAAATAAGTTAATTTTGTCACCAGGCTTAGGATATTTATGACACTGTGACGCTCCCTTCTTCCTCATCAAATTGTATTTGCTGATAATCCATAGAGCTTTGCAATGCCAGTCTTTGTATAAGCATAAGCTGCATATAATTAATATATTTTTGTGATTAGACTGATTGGTTTAGAATCCCTGCTAAATTTCCATTGGTGGAAGTCCATATGGAGCCTTCAGGAAAGCAAAAGCAGCTAAAAATTGCAAGGATTATTTAATCTAAGCCTGAGAGCGATAAATATAACCAGGTCCTCTGTAAACTTTAAATAGCAATTAACAAACAACACACAGAAAACAAGATCTGCTCGCAGCGTGGGGTGATAATATGAACATTTCCATTAAGTCTACAAGTTCTCGGCTCCGCTCTTCCCTCTCATTCGCTTTTGTTCCATCCAGTACAAAGAAGACTAAAGCCACGTTAGTTCACATTAATCAGTAATCCAGCACCCCGGAGGCCGAATTGCATTCGCTTTACAGCATAAAAGACAAATTGTTCCACATACTTTTATCATTAGCTAAGCCATATTCTCCCATTAACTTCCAGTTTATTCCTTTGACCTCTGAGCGTGCACTAGTATAATTACCCAACCGGCATCCCAATTAATTTTTGTGCTTCTTCTGCTCACCCCGTCCATTTCTGTCTTACTCCATCTGTCCTTAAGTTGCTTGCTTTTTTCCATTTCCACACTCATTTTTGGATTCAAAGGTCTAAAATTAATTTTCAGAAGACTTGATTAATGCTGACAAATGGAATAATGGAAAAACTAAGCGTATCAGCCACATGTACACATGATTATTTCTGTGCGTTTTCTTTCTGCCGTTCCAGTGTGGTGCATTTTGCCCTCACGCGGTTGACTTTGAGGGCATGAGACTGCCTGGCGCCCTCACCAAAGGTGTGCGTCTGCGCCTGCGTCAAGATCGGCGTGACCACAGGGGGCGCAGTTGCTGGCATCTGGTTAACTTGGATCCAGAGTCAGAGCCAGCCATGCAGAGTATGAAGATCCAGGACTCCTACACACAAAGTATGAGTTTAACAGTAATGTTATGATTAGCTAGAGTGGAAATCAGTACAAGATCTCAGTAGATCAGCAGTTTCTGAAATACACAGACCGACTTGTCTGGTACCAACAATCATGCCACATTCACAGCACTGAGTCAGTATCATGTGATTTCTTATTTACATAAAATGTTATGTTAACAAGCAGGTGAAAAGGTATACCTAAGTGGCAGAT